TCAATAAAACAACTGTCAAAAAAAAAAAAAGAAAAAAAAAGGAGAGTGAATTAGGAGGTTAATTTCTCTCTGCTCCGCTTTTTCACAATGTGAGGCTCTGCCATCACTGAACTCACCACCAAAGAAAACCCTCACCACAAATGTTCCCTGGACTTTGGACTTCCAGCCTCTGAAACTGTAGGCAATAAATTTAGTTTTCTTTATAAAATACCCACTTCCATGTATTTTGTTATAAGCAACAGAAACAGACTAGTACATGGGGGCAAAGCACTGTGCCAGCTGTCTGGAGAAAACAAAGGTGAATAAGGTAAGAGACCCTGCCCTCAAGGCACAGCAGACTGGGGAGGAAAGAGGTGGAGCTCCACCCAGTGGGAATGCAGTCATTAGACTGGAATCATAGAAAGCTTTATCAAGATGACAGCATCTGATTGCTTAAAGTGCAGCCTTGTAACACCAAGGTCACGGATTCGAATCCCCCTACTGGCCAGCCATCAGAAAAAAAAAAAAAGAAGACAGCATCTGAGATGGGTCTTGGAGGATCAGCAATTCTTCAACAGGTGGAGATGGGGGAGGCAGCACGTGGCTCTCACGAATCATGGTTCTAAGAGATGCTAGCAAGGGGCATGTTTGAAAGGCCTGGGAACAGAAGCCCCTCTGCACTCAGTCTGTGCCACCTGGGGATGAAGGGGCATCACAGCAGGGCTCAGGAGCCCATCTGAGGAGGATGTTTTCTTGGTAATAATATCAATATCCTGCAGTGAGTGATTAGGGGAAGAGAAAAGTGGAAGAAGGGGAAGAAAGGAAGACAGGGTGATGAAGGGCAAGCCACTGAGAGAAGCCCCTGGAAATATCTAGTGCCTGCCCCAAGCTGTGGCCCCAGCTGGATCTGGCTGCTGCTGCTGCTGCTGCAGACAGTGAGATAAATCTGCAGGCGGCTGTTGGTAGATGGCCTTGAATTGGTAGCCATAGGTAGATGGCCTCGAGTATCATGACAAACTCTAAAGGGCTGGGCCCAGGACCCAATTGTCATCTGAGGAGTGTTATAAAAGTTCAAGGAAGCAAAAAATTATTGAATATTTCAAAGAAAACACTTCAGAGGATTTGAGGATATTTCTCTGCATGTTCACGCTTGGCATCTCAAGTATTTCGTAAGTTTCAAGGAGCAAATGACATCTTCTGAGATGGTCAAGCTAATCTTCTTCATCTGACTGCCTCAGCTGTTTATCCCTCAACATCCATCCTCTCGCACACCTCCTCTCCCCCAAGGTGAAGGAGAGTACAAGAAACACCATTTTAAATGTGGTGCTGTGGAAAAAAGTGGTGGCCCTAAACTTCCCCCTGTTCTTGGCAGCTGCTTGAGCAACTTTGTAAGCTGAGAAGGAAACAGAAAAAAAAAGGGTCTTTCTCTTGGCCTCTGGAGGGACCTCACTTCCCAGCCTAGGCTCAGATGCCCTTCCTCCAAGGCTGTGTCTTACCACATGTGATCATACCTTGCAAGGCAGCCCCAAGTAATAGTCTGCAGCCGCATATGTTTTAAGTTGAGAAAGGATGTTTGCGTATGAAGATACAATTGCTTCTCAGATAACTGCCCATGTGTAGCTGAAAACACACACACACATACACACAAACCCACACCTACCCTGTGACCAGTATTCCTTCTCTACTATTGGTTTGCAGCAATCATTACAGCTTTCAGGGGGTTGACGTTTTAAGCTCGGAGGGAGCCTTTGCTCAGAGGGAGCCATGCTGCCTCTCTGCTCGGTTGAGACAGTGCAGGGCAGCTGTGTGCTGTGCGCTGACTGCAGCGACTGCGGGAATCCTCCCAGCATCTCCCCTGCTCTGTCTCCCTGCTGGGGCTCTTGCCACTGGGAGCCCAGCTTCTCTACTCCACTTAGCATATTCCTGTCTTCAAAATAAACTCCTGGGCTTTTTGCCATGTCTACTGAGAGAATGAAGACCATTCTCAGCAGAATGTCTGAGATTCTCAGCAGAAGGGATGCACAGTTATAGTGAAGGGCCTCAGAGAAAGCCTGTGGAGGGACTTCAGTGACATCAACATAGACCTCAGTCTCTTTGGAAAGAAAAAGAAGAGGCTCCAGGTTGACAAATGGAGAGGAGATAGAAAGGAACTGGCAACCGTCCACACTATGTGTAGTCATGTACAGAACACAATCAAGGGTGTCACGCTGGGCTTCTTGTTACAAGGTGAGGTCTGAGTGTGCTCACTTCCCCAGCAACATCGTTGTTCAAGGGAATGGGGTCTTTTGTTGAAATCCAAAATTTCTTGGGTGAAAAATACATCTGCAGGGTTCAAATGAGGCCAGGTGTTACTTGTTCACTATCTCAAGCCCAGAAGGATGAGTTAATCCTTGAAGGAAATGACATTGGACTTTTTTCAAATTCAGCTGCTTTGATCCAGCAAGCCACAAAAGTTAAAAACGAGGATATCAGAAAATTTGGGGATGGTGTCTGTTCCTCTGAAAAAGGAACAATTCAGGAAGCTGATGAATAAGAGCTAAGAGTTGTCCAACTACAGAAACAAGCTACTGTGTGATTCTCAAGACATGCTTATAAATTTTAATGATGGGAGAAAAGACTTCTATTGGAAAACAAAGCAAAATAAATTCATGGACATCAGAATGTGTCATAAGTCTTCATCTCCTGGACCACATTAGGAGAGGAGGAAGGAAATAGACAGTCCCCCCTCTCTCCCTCCTCTTCCCCAACCCATTGCCAGGATTCTGTTTTAAGCACACTTGGTCATTAGCCGTGCATCCCACTATCCCTAGGTTTGGGCTCAGCACAGAGCAGGACCTCTAGACACATGCTGATTTAGAAATTTGCCTCCTATATTTGACTTTTCAGTAATGCAATTAGAATGACAGCCTCTGAAAAACAGCTTAATCAAAAGGCTCTTGTAAAGATAGTGTTGACTGTAATTCTGCCTTCTTCTCCTTCCCTTATCTCTTCTTTTCCCCTTCCGCTCCTCCCTTTCTTCCTGAAAAGGAACTTAGCCAGAAAATGGTCATCTTTGGGGTAACTGAGACCGAGCTGAAAATTTCAGTTAGCTGTTAACTTAGGAACGGAGAGACTGACTGCATGGCTGAAACTGCCCAGGGATGAAATCATGCCCCAAAAGGATCTGTCTCAAAAATTTATTTCTGTTTATCTCCCATTACACCCTCTTATGTTGATTTACTATAGATGTTGTGCACCTACAATTAAGAATTGAAACTAAGTTTTCTTGGTTTTCTCTCTTTTCCCAGTCAACTGCAAACAAAGGAATCTCAAGAGAAAGGCCCAGCACCCTAGCTGATTATTAACTCACCTTCTTGCTTAAAAGAAAATTGCATCCACATTAGTTAGAGGTACGAGTCAGGTATATTTATGTCCCAGTGACGTCTGACTGAGGTTCTTGTCTTTGAGCTTTCCCTAGGAGATAAGGACTGTGACCCTGAAATAACATGAGGGGCTTGAAGCTGACCAGTCCACCAACTGCAGACTCCATGACACCAAAGCACCCAGTCCATCATGGGACCCTGACATCTGACTCAGACCCTCTGCTGATCCCATGACCAGCCTCCCACTTTGCCTGCAGGACAAAACCCCTACCTCACCTTTGCACCTCTTCCCCTTTATAAACCCCAGAACAGACATTAGAAGGCGGGATGATTTTGGCCTGGTCATCCCCCCACGCTGATTATCTGAATAATTAACGTTCCTTTCTTCTTGTCCTTTCTCTTTCTTTTACCTCCTCTTCTTCCTCCTCTTCCATTTCTGCATATATAAATACTGACCTCTCTCTCTTTTTTCATCTGCCCCCCTCAGTTCTTTATCAGGCATCTTCTTGCTCACCAGGATCTTTTGTTCAGTGAGTTATGTCAGAGCACAGGTCCTCTCAGACTCTGGGTGGCACAGGTACAGGAAGCCCATCCCTGACAAGGTAGGACGGATGACCACAGAACTCAGTGAACGTAGAAGTAGATAAAGATTTGGAGGGGAAGACAGAAGTTCTAATTTTTACATGTATGATATGGTTTGAGACATTGTCAAAATCTTATTCAGTTTATAAAGTTTTATACATCTCTGAACAGTGTGCTGTTGAGGGACTTGTATGGTAGAGTAACAAAAATTGGTTATAAAAATAAAACAGGAATTTATATTTTAAATAAAAAAGGAGCAGCCCGAGCCCAGTAATTCATCATTCCATATCAGATAGAATCTTTAGCGCTCAGACACAGATTAAGATCAGCACCTCACTTAGTATGACTAAGGCAGTAACAACACCAAACAAGGTTTAGTTAAACTGCACCCAGCAATCTAGGTCACAGGGAAGAAAAGAAGCAAGGTGGGTTAGCAAAACAGTTTTTATATCAAAGGAGGGATGTGGCTTGAATAAATGAGTTGCAACTTTACTTTCCTTAAAGAGCTCTTCTCTAAAAAGCACGTGTCCTGGTTGCATTATTCTTAACTATATCCTTGTTCTTTTTATCAGACAAGGCAAGGACACCAGAATCAAGTGACAATGGAAATGGAAGAAACACTTATATTAGACTCATTAAAATTTCTACTTAAAATCTCTTTGCCCACATGAAAGTACTGTTTCAAGAGGGTTGAAAATAAATGCTCTTACATTTTATTTTTAATTAATCTTCCCTGCTTTGCAGTTCTCGAGGAGTCACCCACCTCTCATTTGCTTTCTACCCATCAACAGATGATGAGGATGAAATGGCTTCACTGTCTTTTAAAATTAGTTTCATGAGAAGGAAAGATTTTAAAAGTGCCATGAGAGTTAGAGTGTCACACTGGGGACTTTGTACCTTCTAGGCAGGTACTGCCTATAGGTACAAATGCAATTCTGATAATGTTTCTATCACACACGAAGGACTTTTGCTATTTTTCAGTTTAACGTGCAATGCCAGAAAGACAAGAGTCACTGCTGGACAAAGAAAAGGACAGCGGTTGCCTCGCAGTGGCTCCACCATGACTGGGGTACTTACAGGGCAGTGAGGTAGCCCTCCAAAAAGCCGGCCACAAACATGGTGATCTCATTGGATAAGGCCCGAGCACCATACCCAGCTCTGATCTCCAGGATGCTCCAGCCTGTGGACTGCACAGAGTTATTGTAAAAGCCGTAGGCATCCCCATTCCTGTCCATTATGTTTTTGACTTGGACAGTCTTTTCAGCATCCATCCAGTATGCAGTTGCATAGGAGACTCCTGGAAGAAAAGAAAATAATGACGGAATGCCATTCAGCTGAGTTGCTGATGCATTTTTTTCTATGTAGCCAACAATTCCAACACATTTGCTTTGAAAAATTTCTGTTCGGTCAGAATTGAGAAATCTGCCATTATAGTTTGTTTTTGTTACAAACAGGGAAAAAACAGAGCCTTGATTAAGGGATGAGCCCAGAGCACAGAGAAGCAGGACAAAGGTTGGGGTGTAGTTACAGCATCACAGAGGTGGGCCTACATGGTTCACCCTTACAGGGTGGGACTCTGGGCTGGGCCAGAGCTGGAGCTCATGCCCATATCTTAATTCAACCGAGGATAAGGCTCTTGTCCCTAGTCAGCAACTCGTTCCGTTCTCCTTATCAGATGGACCACAGCATCGCCATTCTCAGGCTCTTTACCCTAAATCTCCCGCTTCATTCTGCTCACATAATATTAGATTCCTATTTTGCAGAAAAAGTAGAAGCTATCACCTGTGACCTCCTCAAGGTCTTGATAACTTTGTGAATCTACCCTCACAAACACTGGACTAACGTCCCTCTCTCCCTGCCTGTTCACCTCAATCCTTATGTCCCCACTCTGGATCCCACCCTCTCACCTTTTATTTATTGACTGATTTTCGGTAGCTGGAGGGATCAAACCCTGGACCTTGGTGTTATCAGCACCACGCTCTAACCAACTGAGCTAACCGGCCAGCTCCTTTCACCTTTCTTCGGAACTTTGCTCCATCCTGTATCTTCTCGCTCCTGTACCCTAAAGCTCTTTCTCTTCGCAATGGCTCCTTCCCTTTGGCATAATTAACATTCCCCATTGTCTCAAGGCTGAACACAAACCAACTGCAAAAGTTCTCTCTGGATCCTGTGACCCGAGATTCAGCTGTTGTGGGAATCTCTCCCTCCCTTCTTGAAATCATAACAAATCTTAGAGACTCTCTACACTGTGTTGGGGCCATGCGCATGCTGGTGACAGAGCTGTGACATGACTGGCATGGCTCCAGGCCTGATCTTCTGGGAAGGGGTCACACGTGTCCCCTCACTGCTGTCTGCCTGCTGCAGAGTGCTCTCCACCCCACTGTGCCGCCAGCACTGCGATTGCCTGGGTCACTAACAAGATCTTTGAGTCCTATGTCACATGAACTTGTGAAAGTGCTTGGCCCCAGTGACAGCTTATTCTTCACCCTCTCCTCCCATGGCATCTTGGACACTACTCTCTCCTGAGTCTCCTCCTTTACCTGCCTTTCTCTCTGTTCTCCCTACGGGTTGTTCCTCTTTTTCTTGTATACCCACAGTGCACTTGACAACACAATCTGGATGATTCCATAGCATTAGAAATTCGAAATATCCAAAATAAAACTCACATTCCCTCCCAACCCATCCTTGTCCTCTGCTCTCTAGCTCTGTGATTCTCATCCTGAAACCTGAGTCCATCCCGGCCTCTTCTCTCTCCCTTAATTAAAGCTCACGTTTGGGCCGGCCCGGTGGCGCACTGCTACAGTGTGCCGCTTGGGAGCGCAGCGGCGCTCCCGCCGAGGGTTCGGATCCCACATACAGACCAGTTCCCGCTCACTGGCTGAGCGAGGTGCGGGCGCAACACCGAGGGTTGCGATCCCGTTGCCGTCCTGGTCCCGTACGGGCGCGACACTGAGGGTTGCGATCCGTTGCCGGACACGAAAAAAGACAAAAAAAAAAAAAAAAAAAAAAAAAAAAGCTCACGTTTAATAGGAACCTCCTAAATCTCTCTCCCACCTCTCTATCTCTACATCTGTCCGCTAGTGTAGGTATCACAACTAGCTTTAACTGTAGGACTTTTTCCAGGTTCCTCTGACCTTTAATCTATTCTTCATTCTCTGCCAAGAAACCTTTCTAAACTGATTTTCTTAGCTTGCCTACTAAAAGTCTTCAACAGCGTTTATTTTCTCTATAAAAAAATTCTTCAGCTTGCCCTCTTGGCCTTCACGACCTCTTTTCTATCTACCTACCCACCACCTTGTGCACCTTGTGATCCAGAAACCATTACATACTCTCTGGCCCGTCTGCCTTGAGCTGGGTCAACACCTTTGACTTTGCATACGCTATTTCTTCTGCTATTTAAGACTCAGGAAGCAGCACTTGCCTGTGTAGGGACTGACTTCCTCCACAAACTCAGCCTACCTTGTACAAACATCTCCTTTTTGCCTTATCATAGTGAACTGCAACTTCCACGTCTGACCCTGCTCCTGGACTAAACTCCTTGAGGCCAGAGACTGTTTTATCAGCACTAGGTATAGTGACTGGCCCATAGCAGGTACTCGATTTGTGAAAGGAAGACTTAGGTTGGAAGAGAAAAACAAAAAGGAAATAAGACACAGAGAGAGGAAATGGTGTATGGTGTGTTTTGTTCTCTGAGACATTACTGCACACCTGCTTTGGGTTTACATTCAGACGGTCATCAAAGAGGTGGCGGGAGGCCAGAATGACTCAGATTCTAGGTTGAGGCTCAGTGGATGGGTGTGTGTCATTCACTGAGCAAATGGGAAATAGGTCTGGGAGGGACTGTGAGTTTAGTTTTAGAGATACTGAGTTTTTAGTGGTTAAGAGGCTAGGAAGCTCAGATTAAGTATTTATACAGGGTTATCCATATTTTGGCAACATTCAAAATTGAACCAACATTTTATTTTTTAATGCAAAGATTGTCTATCAAATAAGTACTAAAAGTATAATCTCAATACTGGATCATCATGGCACCGTGCTCCAGGGGGGCTGGGTGATTGGGGCTTGGTCAGGCTTAGAAGCTAATGCTGATTATGACTCTTAAAGAATGATCCTGAGTAGGACTAAGTCGATTTACTTCTGAGTAAAATCATGACCATAATGATGGGCTTTCTTTAATAATGGTTAATTGGAAGTAATGACATTAATAAACATGGGTAGGTGCAGAAAATCTGTCAATAAACTCCTGGCAACAAACAATTGTGTAATTGTTAATGAAACCAATTGGCCCTAATTTGACAGTAGTTGGCAGCACCTGTAGAAACTTCCCTTCTTCTCTTCCCAAATACACTAAATAGTTTTTCCAGATTTATTTCTGACCAAAAATGCCATAACCTGCGCTTTTCCCCAGGTTTTCTCACACTCCCTCCCACCCTCACCTCCTGGGAGCCTCGCAGGCAAATGAGGAAGCGCAGCTGGCTAAATAAAGCAGCCAGGAGCCTGTGGTGGCGGAGGGGCCACAAACAGGAACTGCAAAAGAAAAAAGGAAGGTGAGAAGCCTCGCTGGTCCCTTCCCTTCCAGGTCTGTCCACAAAGCACGATTTTGGCTTTGTCTCCTTCTCCAAAACCTTGACAATTCTCATCTTGAGCACCATGTGCCGCAGGCTTTCCTGCCCCTTCCCCTTCCACGCCAGCAGCCCCTTTATGCTGCAAACGTTGCCTTGCTCCAGGCAGGCCAAGTACTCAAGCGCTGCATTCTTACTGCTGCTGGAACTACCTAACTACTGACCACAAAAATAAACTTCTGCGGCAAATATGTGCTTTTTTGACACCAGTGAACCTCCATGCATGAAGAAACCTCTACCCAGTCCTCAAGAAAATTCAGTGATAAAAATTTACTGCTAACAAGCTGACCAATTTAGCAAGTGCTTTGAAAATTAAGCCAAATCCTGAGTTTCTCTCACTCCACCCCCAGCGGATGGCCTCCATTCCATGATGTTTTCTCTGTGCATCAACTCTTTCTGGTTTTCCCAGTATTCATGCTATTTTCTGATCTTCTCGAATCCTTTAATAGATTGAGCCATTATAGTTTTCTATTTTTTGAAAACATCTCCATGCTGGGAGGCAGATGATGTGAAAAGCATAATAGTGAAAAAAGGTGGACAAATATTGCATAATTCTAATCCTAACCTAGTTTTATACAAGCCTTGTGAAAGCAAAGACTGTTTTTGCTTTCCACTCTATCCTGGGAACACTGTACCTGGCAAAATAATGTTTCTTTGATTAATCTTGTTTAATCGTGTATGTTCTTTAAATGAAAGGGAAGTTGATTAGAACATTCCTTCACAGAAGTTAGTCTGCAATATATCAGGTAATTATGTCTTCAAGCTCAGGTAGGAGGCCCACAGGGTGGTTGACTCAGTTTCAGTCTATCCAGCCCAAGGGGCAAGTGCTACGTGTTGATACTTTCTTGTTGTGAGAATGCAAAATCAGGTTTAAGTATTTTTAACAGCAACATCCTCAAAATCAATGCACACAATAAATATTTGTTGAATGAATGGGAATATTACTTTATAAAAACAGTAGTTTTCTTCTATAAATAAAGACGGAAGAAGCTCTGTCATTTTTATTTCTCTCTACATAAAAACCCAAACACTCAAATTAAATTATTTACTTGTGTACTCTGACTAATATTTTCTTCGAGTTCATTATTTTTGGTCAAAAAAATTTCTAACCCTGGGCCGGCCCGTGGCTCACTCGGGAGAGTGCGGTGCTGATAACACCAAGGCCCCGGGTTCGGATCCCATATAGGGATGGCTGGTTTGCTCACTGGCTGAGCGTGGTGCTGACAACACCAAGTCAAGGGTTAAGATCCCCTTACCAGTCATCTTTAAAAAAAAAAAAATTTCTAACCCTACTTTAGAAAGAATTAGCAGTCATAAGTGGTTTATATCCCTCTCTCCCATATTTGGAACCTAATCTTTCCAGCGCTTCATTTATGAAAGAGTAAGTGGTTTTCAATCCTGAGCAACACAATATTTGCCTAATATATTCAGTAAGTTAAAGAAAGAAAAATGAGAGAGAGCAAGCAGAATATGTGAGAGAAAATACAAAAAAAATTATAATTGAAACTTAATCTGTTCACTTGGGCTTAGCTAATGACAGTGATTCTGACCCTGGAATTGCTTTTCTCTTTCCTGTCCACCGACCGAGCTAGTCTCTACGGGGGCCTCTTCTGCATACCTTGGCATTCATTGCACCTCCCTTCTCTGAAAGAGTTCTCAGTAACTTGATACCTGGT